TTCCTATATGTTTAATTTCAGCAGAGGGGAGGAGTGGGGTGCGATGGAGCATTTGTTTTGTTATATTTTGTTGTTTGTTTTGTTTGTCTTTGTGTGTGTTTAATTAACTTTTCTCATCTTTAATTCGCTGTAAATTGCTTTTTGTGTATGTGTGTTTGTTTATATGTTTGTATTTATGTTTAGGACCCCCTCGAAAATGAGATGATTCGTCTCAAGGGGCTTTCCTTAATAAACTTAAATAGTTACAGTGCATTAAAAAGAGTGAAGATTACAATCGGCCAGGGGCCAGGGGAGGCCAGGGAGAGGGAGAGAGACCAGAGAGAGAGCGGCCAGAAAGAGAAAAGAGACCAGAGAGAAAGGTCAGAGAGAGACCAAAGAAAGACCAGAGAGAGACCAGAGAGAAACCAGAGAGAGAACAGAGAGAGACCAGAGAGAGACCAGAGAGAGACCAGAGAGAGAGCAGAGAGAGAGCAGAGAGAGAGCAGAGAGAGAGCAGAGAGAGAGCAGAGAGAGAGCAGAGAGACCAGAGAGAGACCAGAGAGAGACCAGAGAGAGACCAGAGAGAGAGACCAGAGAGAGAGACCAGAGAGAGAGACCAGAGAGAGAGACCAGAGAGAGAGACCAGAGAGAGAGACCAGAGAGAGAGACCAGAGAGAGAGACCAGAGAGAGAGACCAGAGAGAGAGACCAGAGAGACACCAGAGAGACACCAGAGAGACACCAGAGAGAGACTTGAGAGAGACCAGACAGAAACCAGAGAGAGAGACCAGGGATAGACCAGAAAGAGGCCAGAGAGACCAACCAGACTTAGATAAAAGTAATCTCTTTAAAATCCAATCTTTTATTTGCGGATCATAAAGATATTAATTCTGGTCTTTACCCGAATAAAAAATATGTTTTCCATCTATCGACTTCTTAAAAAATTGAAATTTGGACATACAAAGAAATTGAATATTAAGATACTTTTTTTGTTGCCACAGTGGAGAAATGTCAGTGTTGCAACACATGTGACCAAACAGGAGAAAAGAGGAGCACAAAATATTTAGTCACAGAAAAAAAAATATATTTTTGGATCTATGTTGTTTTGTGGATTTGTGTGATTCATTTGGATCACAGTGTATTTCTAGTCCCTTTTTTGTGCGTCATTTGTGTCTCTTTTTGTGGCTCTTATAATATTTGTGTCTAACTGTAAACTGGATGTAAGTGTCTCCTCTGTGTCCGATTGTCCTGCTCTAAATATATGACCTAAAGAACGAGATTGCGGATACAAGCGGTCAAAATGAGATTCCTCCGCAGAGTGGCTGGGCACTCCCTTAGAGAGTGCCCAGAGGAGCTCAGTCACACGGGAGGAGCTCGGAGTAGAGCCGCTGCTCCTTCACATCGAGGAGGCTCCGGGGAAGACCCAGGACACAGAGGGACTATGTCTCTCAGCTGGCCTGGGAACGCCTTGGGGTCCCCCCGGACGAGCTGGAGGAAGTGTGTGTGGATAGGGAAGTCTGGGCGTCTCTGCTTAGACTGCTGCCCCCGCGACCCGGCAACGGATGAAGCGGAAGAAAATGGATGGATGGATTCAGACGAGATGAGGTCTCTGCTCTGTCTGTGTTTTCGAGACCTCTGCTCTTGGAAATTTCTCCTGTGTGGGATCAATAAAATTCATCTTATCTTATCTTGATACGAACGAACTGCAGAATAGTCTTTGGAAAACTCAAAAGTATTAAAAAGATATTCAACTATTTTTGATTGCATACAAAAATACAATTAAATGTATTTTTGTATAGCCTTAAATCAGCCGTCTCTTATAATTTCCTGCTGGGACTCTGAGGAGCACAGGGACTGGCCTCCTGCTGGTCCCAGAGTCAGGACTAAACATGGAAAAGCAGAGTTTGAGAAAAATGAAATAGTCATTTGAAATAAGGGGTGGGATTAAATAAGTTTCTACTTCTCCCCACTCCTTTGCGTAAATTCAATGAGAGAATTTATCATTATGTTCAATTTAACAATATTTATTTATTAGGCCAGAGCCCCCGAACGGGGTAAGGGCCTATTGCTTTCACAATGGTGAATGCAAATGGTGGCAGTGCGTGACGAGCGCCGATGCGTCCGTCACGCACCACAACGTGATGGTTGGGTGCGTAAACTCAAACGCTTTAAAATGATGTATCAGGTGCCATTGAAACCTATATTGTTTTTGCTCGAGACGTCGAAAAAAAAGAATCCTCATTTCTTTTTCTTTTTTCGTCTGCACTTTGAGCCTTAATTTGACTCCCTGAACATGCATGAAAAGTTTTCGGAGATCAAGTTTGTTGTAGAGTCATGAAATTTAGTGCACATGTTCCTCAAGTCAAGACAAGAAAAAAATATTATTATGGCTCCGCCCTCTGACAAATAGGAAGCCCATACATTTCACTGCAAAAAGGAAAAATGAACAGCAAAAGTTTTCATACATGTCGGTTGGAAAGCGATTCCTCCTCGGCCGTTTCACCGATTCACCGATCAAAATGACTTTTTTTCAGTAAAACGTTGTTTGAGCATCGGAGCGTCAAAATGTGACCCTTTATTTGCCGTTTTGGACAATATTAAATTTGCTCCCATTTGCACCTATAAAGTCTGATTTGCACAAAACTTTAATACATTGTTCAACTCTAGGGTCTAGGTCAATTGAAAGTGAAATAAATTAACTGGACTCATTAGCGCCCTCTACAGATGGTGTCAACGTTTTTAGTATGGGAGGGGTTCGAGGTCAAGTTTGTCCTAGAGCCATGAAATTTGGTACAAATGTTCAAGTCAAGACATGAAAAAAATGTTATTATGGCCCCGCCCCCTGACAAACAGGAAGTCCATAAATTTCATTGAAAAATGAAAAGCAATCATTTTCATACACGTCGGTTGGAAAGCGACTCCTCCTCGGCCGTTTCACCGATTCACCTCAAAATCGCTCCACATCATATCAACACATGTACCATTGAAATGATTTCAGCGAATTTTGATCAGTGAAACGTTGTTCGAGCAGCGGAGCGGCAAACAGTGGTATTTTTATTGCCATTTTTGACATTAGCAAATTTGCTCCCGTTTGAACAAACAATGTCTAATTTGCACAAAGCTTGAATACATTGTTGAACTCCAGGGTGTAGGTCATTTGAAAGTGAAATATTTGAAATTGGCCCATTAGCGCCCCCTACAGACTGAGGCAAAATTTAACATGGGGTGCCAAACCAACTCAACTGATCATGTTCATTAATATTTCACAAACATTCTTCTATGGCTACGGGAAAATAAAAATACATAGCTCAGCGGCGCCACCTCCGATGCGCGGTGCGGCGCGGCGTGATGCTGTTTATTTATTAATTAATTGTCCATTTCTGGGTCGGCGGGGGGACTTGCCACCCAAGTCTCATAGCACCAGTCCACCAGTGCTCTCTGATGGACTAGTGCCATGTCCTGGTCATTTTTTTTACATTTTAGTGCAAATCATTATAGATAAAATCTTACTTTTGAGCCTATAACAGTCTGTACGGCCCCCTCTATATTTTTGGTGGTACTACATTTGAATTTGGTGGCTGGGCTCTCCATTGGCTCTGGAGTGCAAAGTGACGTTGCTTTGTGCAGCGTGATGTCCGTTGCTCTGCGCCTGTGGTATAAAAGTCTCAAACACGCCCCGTAGCGAGTTGGGGTATTATGACGACATCTAGTGGTTTAACATTAAAATACATCAATTGACCGCCACTATTGTTACTGAGATAATTCTGTGGCTTGGGTTCCGGTTTCTAGCTATGCAATTAGCTAAAGCTGCGTTCAGACCGCCGATGCATGGACGTGTGTAGATGGAGGCATGGACTCACGTTCACCAAGTATCAGCTGCATGAGTTTAGTCAATCTGACGTCCTGCCCTGCGTTGGGGAAAAACGCAGGGCGGAAGTGGTGGGAACTTCTGTATCAGCGAACATGTTAGCAGCACTTGTTTACAGCCACATTGGAATGTCAACTCAAGGTGAACCCATATGTTCACAAGCGCCGTGTCCCCCATCCTCAGTCCTGGTTTAATACTGGTTTAGCTCCTTTTTTGTTGTTTTCTTTTTCCTGGTTTGGACCAGCACATGTCCCCCTGATCACTTTGCCGCTCTCTGATTGGTTGCCGCACGTATGTGGAGCGAGAATGTTCATCTCGCTGCATGCATCTAGCCGCTGTACCCACTGCCTCCTCCGCGCCGCAACAAGATGTCTGCCGTGCGGGATAAACATGCGGGCCGCGACGTCCATGCAATTCCTCACATAGACGGACACCACCATTGACTTTGCATTGAAACTCGTCGCAACGAATGATCCGGTCTTAACATAACTTTAGTGAGTAAACAAGGGTGGAATGAGAATTTCTGTGGTATAAACTATTGCGTTAAGCTATCAATGTCAACTGTCTGATTTTTTTTGTGTGGGCTGTGATTGACAGCTTGCTTGTCAATCACAGTCCACCCAGACCACGCCCAACTCCCAGCCCCCCTTGTCCCCTGGTCCTCCAGGCAACGCCATTTTTAGAGAGAATTTTCAAATGTTCATGTGGGCGGAGTAAGGCTGGGCACTGGTGCGTTTTTCACAGTTAATTTGTCTTAAATTCATAAATTTGGTTTGTGCATTGCTCTTCACCTGTTTGTTTCATGGAAGCGCTGGTGGGACTTGAAACCCTGACTCCCTGGACCCGAGGACTGGTCCACAGTCGTTGGGAGTTGGTGGTTCTGTGACCCCCCTCAAGACGACTGTTGTTGTGATTTTGGGCAATACAAATACAACTGATTTGATTTGGTGTTTAGTTTCCTTAAACAGACACAATACATTTATGTATTTGCCCTCTGTACTACAATGGGTTATAAACTCAGCTTAACTCATCATCATTATTTCATCTGGATTTTGAAAGGATAATATTTTTTTTCTACAATCTCTTAAGGCCTTGAATTTTGCATCAAAAAATGTAATACAATTTAAATTATTTCATGACTCTGGGGCTACCTATCAAACCATCCCTAAAAACCACATTTCCTATGTTGTACCTGCTTAGAAGTAGAAATGCAATACCTGTATTCCTGGAAACGTTCACGGTCATAGCGGTCGAAGATGTCTCTCCAACTGTAGATGTTGACGATGCCAGTAGCTACGGTGATGAGCAGCATGAGTGTGAGTTTGACCATGTGGCTGACCTGCACCAGCATGGTGGTGGCCATGAGGGCGAGAGCCGCAATGTAACTGTAATACTTTGGGTTCTCTGCACAACCCCCTTGACCGGGCCCAGAGGAAGGGTCTGACACACGGGGAAAACAGCTCAACTTGAAAACAAGAGAGGTGATTACTATTATTTGTTTTTAATAGAGGAATTTTACATAAACATAAAAAGATCAAACATGTTACAGGTCTTAAATGGTGCTGGTACTAATGATAATGAGAGGAGCACTGCTGATGTATGACAGTGGATTTGATGTCGACATAGTTTATGTACAGCCTATGATGCAACTCAGTGAGTATCCTGGAGCTTACCATGTCCACAATGTCAGCCATAGTGAGGATAAAGATGGCTGCCATGGCCCAGGTGTTTCTGGCCCAGCGTGTGTGGTCGATCCATGTGGAAAAGGACACCAGCTTCTTTGGGAAAACCTGCAACAAATGTACCCTCTATAGTGAGTTTGGCTGCTTTGAGCACAATAAGAAAATAAAATCAAGTTCAAGTCCTGCAAACAGCAAAGCCTCTGCGGAAAATTCCATTATGACCGTTCTAGAAGTAAATCTTAAATCCTCTATTTATCAATTGAATTGAAGGGATATTGCAAATCAGCAAAAGATTGATCTGGGATCACACAAACACAGTTGGACAGTACATGTGACCACTTCGCGCCTCACTGGTCAATTAATACAATGGACTATGTCACCAAAGCTGGAGTCTGGTGATGATCGAACATTTTGTAACCTGAAACAGTATTCAATCAATCAATCAAAGTTTATTTGTAGAGCGCCTTTCATACACAGGGCAACACAAAGCGCTTCACAGTCCACATCACAAATCATCACATAAAACAAACACCAGAATCACAATTAAAACATTAAAATCACACAAAAGATTAAAACACAATTAAAACATTAAAATCACACAAAAGATTGAAACACAATTAAAACATTAAAATCACACAAAAGAATAAAACCATTAAAACTTTCAAAATTACACAAGAAATTTAAAAAAAAAAATAAATAAATGACAGCAGTGCATTAGAAATGGAGATAAAATCCTTCAGTTGTATGCACAGGCAAACAGAACAGTCTTTAACCTGGATTTGAACATTGACAGAGTAGACGCCTCCCTCAAATTTTCAGGGAGATTGTTCCAGATCTTAGCTGCATGGATCTGAAACGCAGCCTCCCCATGTTTGGTTCTCACTCTGGGCACCAGCAGGAGGCCAGTCCCTGTGCTCCTCAGAGTCCGGGCTGGTTCATATGACACCAACATGTCACTAATGTATTTTGGTGCAAGGCCATGGAGAGACTTGTACACAAGCAGAGCTGTTTTAAAATCTATTCTTTGAGCCACAGGAAGCCAGTGCAGAGACCTGAGGACCGGACTAATATGGTCATACTTCCTGGTTCCTGTCAGGACTCTAGCTGCTGCATTTTGGATGTACTGCAGCTGCTTACAGGTCTGTTTGGACAGACCTGTAAGCAGGCCATTGCAGTAGTCTAGCCTGCTGGAGACAAATGCATGGACAAGAATCTCCAAGTCTGCCCTGGACACTATATTTCTAACTTTGGCAATGTTCTTCAGATGGTAAAAAGCTGTTGGTGTTATTGATTTTATGTGGCTATTGAAATTTAGGTCTGAGTCCAGTATTACCCCCAAATTTCTGACCTTGTCTGAAGGAAGTAGGGAGAGAGACTGAAGTTGACAAATGACGCCCTCTCTTTGTTTCTGGGGACCAAAGACAATGATTTCGGTTTTGTCTGCATTTAGCTGGAGGAAATTATTTTGCATCCAGTCACTGATCTGTTGGATACAGTGAAGGAGCAAATCCAGTGGTCCATGTTCTCCTGCAGTCAGTTAGACATAGATCTGAGTGTCGTTGGCGTAATTGTGGTAGGACACTTTGTTTCTTTGTATTAACTGACCTAACGGCAGCATGTAGAGATTAAATAGGAGAGGTCCCAGGATCGACCCTTGTGGTACTCCACAGGTCAGGGCCACATGATCTGAGACGCAGTCTCCAATCTCCACAAAGTACTTCCTATCCTCCAGGTAAGACCTAAACCAGTCTAGGGCTGTGCCAGTGACACCAACCCAGTCCTCCAGTCTCTGCATGAGGATCTCATGGTCGACAGTGTCGAACGCGGCACTAAGATCTAACATGACCAAAACTGTGACTTTACCTGCATCAGTGTGAAGTCGAATGTCGTTTGTTACCTTCACTAGAGCGGTCTCAGTGCTGTGGTGGGGTCTAAACCCAGACTGGAACATATCAAAAGAATTATTCATTGTTAAAAATTCAGTAAGTTGTTGGGAGGCCACTTTTTCAAGAATTTTTCCAATGAATGGCAGATTCGATATGGGGCGATAATTTTGAAGTCCCGCAGGATCCAGACTGCTCTTTTTTAGGAGAGGTCTTATGACTGCTGTTTTTAGGGCCATAGGAAATGTTCCTGACGACAGAGACATGTTTACTATTTGTGTCAGTGAAGGTAACAAACTGCTCAGGACGGACTTCAGAAATTTAGAGGGCAATATATCCAGGCTACATGTGGAGGAGCTCAGACTCATGATTATCTTTTTGACAGTTTCAGTATCCACAGGTGCAAAGTGAGTTAGCTCAAAAAGCTTCTCTGGCTGTTGCATTGTTATACGTGCTGTGGAGGTGATAGTGTTTTTGATTCCTTGTACTTTGTCATCGAAAAACTGTGCGAACTCATTACACCTAGATTTAGAGGAAAATTCTAGGGGCAACTTTACAGGGGGGTTCGTTAATCTACCAACTGTTGAAAACATAACACGAAAATTGTTACTGCAACCTCCAATAATGTCAGAAAAATACATTTCTCTTGTTCTCCGTAGAACCCGGTTAAATTCACCCAACTCATCTTTAAAGATTTCATAATCGCCCTGAAAATTGGACTTTCGCCACTTCCGTTCGGCCCTCCGGCACTCTTGCTTCTGTGCCCTGACCGAGTCTGCCTTAGTCCATGGGGCCTTTTTCTTACTGGTAACTATTTTAACCGTCACAGGAGCAATGGCGTCCAGAACAGTCAGAACACTGGTGGTGACAGAGTTATACAATTCATCAACAGTAGAGCATGGAGTTTTCTCAAAATTTAGCATTCCCATGAACAGTTCACTTGTGTTTTCATGTATGTGTCTTCTTCTAACAATTGTAAATTCAGCTGGTGGTTTGCTAGCAAAACACATGTCAAAAAATACACAGAAATGATCTGACAAAGCAACATCAACTACATTAACATTTGATACATTAACCCCCTTTGTAATTAGCAGGTCAAGAGTGTGCCCCCTGCTGTGGGTGGGGCCACTCACGTGCTGAATGAATATTGACTTAACATGCAAACAGCTGCTGCTTTATTAACAGTGACATTGCATCATCACGCTCCCTGTCAGTCGTCGGCCATGTTGGATTCTGTGCAGTGAAATCGGTGCCGACTCGGCTACTTTAGGACGAGACAATATATACGTTTCCGCAAACATGCACGAAAAGCACAGAGAGGAAGCCATAAACATAATGAATGTTACTATACTGCTTCCTACTTGGAGAGTATAGACGCGTTCCTTGCTGCTCCGCTGCTTGCTTCGCTTTGTAATCTCTTTTAATCGTTTTATTTAAATTTTTATTCTACAAAACACCGATTACTCATTCTACAGACGTCAGCTTTGTGAAATTTGTCAACGTTAGTCATGTCTGGACAGGAGAAACGGAGAAACGTCTGATGGCTGTTGCTCTCTGGATTATCAGCTCAAATCTCTCCAAAAACGGATCGATATTTTGGAAAAATCATTTTTCATTTCATTTATTTCAGGCAATGGCACAAGTGAGAAAACGAGGTAATTAAATGCAATTAAGTAATATAAATAATATAATGCAAAAAACAACAGACAAACACAACAGAAATGGGACTTAACCGACTCTTCCAATGTGTGAAAATGGGATGAATGGACAAACTGGAAATGTAAGTTATGATGACGTAATTACTTTTCCCAAAATCCACAAAGAGAACCTTTGGAATAAATGCGGTGGTAAACCCAAAGTTGACAAAGCTAAGAATGACAATGAGTTGAATTCTGCCACAACATTTTGAAGACTTCAAATCGTTATGCTGCTCTGTTGGAAGAAGCAAAGCCGCCATCAGATTCTGCCCCTCAGTCAAGGTCACGGTGTTTTCTGCTTGGAGATTCTGCCGTTCGGAATGTATCTATGAACTTTGTACAGACTTACGCTGTGCACTCAGCAAAAGTCTCTGAGATAAGGGCTCTTCTTCCAAAAATGCTATCTGAAAACCATGGTGTGGGCACATTGTTGATCCACACAGGGGCTGTAGACATCTATGAGAAGACGAGCAAGAAGTTGAGAAGGGATTATACTCTGCTGCTGGATGACCTTAAAAAAATTGACTTACACATTTTTATCAGTGGACCGCTTCCAAATGCAGATGGAAAAATCGAGAAGTTTAGCCGTCTGTACCAGCTTAATTCATTCCTACACAATGAGTGTTCACGCAGAGGACTTGGCTTCATTGAAAATTTGTATCTGTTCTGGAATAGACATCCCACATCTGAAAAAATACGGAGTAAAAGTGTTGATGGATAACTTTGCATCTGCCCTAAGACCTCAGCCTGTGCAGCGCGTGCAACCGTCGAAAGGGAGGAAGAAGCAAAGGACACAGACATCACGACCATCTCCACCGACTCCTGAGGTCTCTGCACCACCACCGCCCCGAAAGAATTCAACACCTCAGATTCAGATTTTCAGATTCAGTTTATTTGCCATTTGCAGTAAAACAACCACATTGGAATACATTAGCAAAAGTCTCCAGTGTGCACAGACAAATACAGACATAAAACAACATTAAAAGACAAAAATAAAACAAATAAAACAGTAAACAAATGTCACTGTGAAATCGATCGACTAAAACAGTTTCAAAACAAGTGCAAATCATTAAAGTGCTCTGTTCACACTGATAACAGCTTGTGGATAAAAACTGTTAGAGTAACGAGATGTCCTGCATCTCAGAGAGCGATATCTTCTGCCAGAGGGAAGAAGCTGGAACATGGCTTTCCCAGGGTGGCCAGAAGAGTCATTGACAATCCTAAGAGCTTTGTTTAAAAGTCTGGATTTATAAAGAACCTCCAGAACAGGAAGCTCACAGCCCACGGTCCTCTTTGCAGAGCGGAGCACCTTGTTTAAAGATCTCTTTTCTTTATCTGTGATGTTTCCAAACCACACAGACACAGAACCAACCAGTAAACTCTCAATGGTGCAGCGATAAAAGTTAAGCATAATCTTAGTTAGTGGTAAATTCTCTAAGTTTACGCAGAAAGTGGAGACGCCGACGAGCTTTCTTAACGACTCGGTCAGTGTTTTTAACCCATTTCAGGTCGTTAGACAGAGTTAAAC